TCTTCCGATTCCTGTAACTAACCTCTCTTTCCACTCATTTCTTCTGTCTTTAAACAGTGAAGGCAAAACTTTGCCTATTATGCTTCTGTTGCTCATTTCTGCCTTCTTAGCTGTGTCTGACACTTTCTTCTTGCCTTGCTTTACAGACGCCTTCTGTCTTGGGATTGATGTTTTCAGTTTAGTGGTGTGTTGCTCCAGTTAGAATGTTAGGTTTGGATATGGGGAAACGGAGAGTGCCAATGTACTGGCAAACAAAGAGGTAAAGCTCAGAAGTTGCTAAACAGAAGAAGAATCATTTTGCTGCAACTCTCCAGATTTTCTCTCTAGAACTGTCAGCAGATAAGTAGACTCATTTAAAAATGTGTTCCTTCATTTGTTGCTCTTTTGTATATGGGAAGCCCAGGTACGTGCCTCTACTCACTATAGGAAGTATCCTATGTGACTATCAGGTAGTCACTACCAATGCTCCCTCTCAGCTCTGGAGTCTTATGAGCAAAAGTTCTACTTTGTGAGCTAGTGGCATTAAGGTTGTGAGCGAGCCACTTGGCTACTGCATAAATTAGTTTGCTCTGGAGCCATCCTTCCTGAGCTTAGACAAAGATGTGTGAGCCGGAGGATAGAAAACTGTGAGCTGACTCACACTAGCTCAGATTAGAGGGAACACTGGTCACTACTTCTCAGTCTAACCTGTCTTTCAGAAACTGAAGAACCTGATCTTGGGGTGAGACCCAATAAATTAATTGAATAGTCTTGGGAAATCCAGTTGAACCAAAGTATTCCCAAATAGCAGACTTTGCATTCTGCAGTAGCCGTGTCGAAATCAGAGTGCTGTTTACCTCTCAGTATATATCCCAGTATTCCCTGACCATGATCCGCTATGAAAAGGTGGAACTAAAGAGAAACAACGTTTCCCATCTCCACAAACCGAGGCATCTGGGGTATTATCTAACTTGTTACAAACTCTTGTTTCATATGGCACAGCAATGGACTACAGCATGTCAAATAATAATGAAAAGAGCACCTCTGAGCATGTGTAATGCCTTTTTCCTCAGCACTGAATATCCTCAGCCATCCAGTCCATTCCAGGTCAGAAGGCATACCTCCTAGGCTTGTTTGACCAACAGCACCTCTCGTCTTTAGAGATGTTACCAGTCATAGAGACAGGAAATTGAAAGGTTTCTAGCAAGTATCCGTAGCCTTTCCCAATAAAATATGCAACTTCTAGCATAGTGTCTCCTGTCATGTCACAGGGAAAAAAATGTAGCTTGAAAGCAAACTCTCAAAAAGAATTGAACAAAGGCAAAACAACAAGAGCCTAAAGCTAAATGTTGTACTATCTCCCAACCTGCTGCCAGCTCACCACGGAAGTTAGATGAACTGGAGCCAAGAGCTGATGTGCCAAGAGATATGCACATGTGGATTGTGCACAGTGCTGCGGGCATGGCTGTCATTTATGAATGCTGCCTTCAGAACATTGGTGTTGATGGCAGAGTCCTTCAAGAGATGTATTTGTTATGTTTGCAGACGCAATTGTGGTGGGGAATTCTTTGCAATGAACTTTCCTGCCTAAGGCAGACCCAAGATTGCATCCAAACGATGCCCAGCTTTAGAAGACAACGGGGGACTGAGGGCTGGGGGTCTGAACCACTGGCAAGACAGACCGAGAAGATTCAAGAGTAACAAGTTAGGTTCCAACAAAAAGAACTTTTCTCAGAGCTGCCTCTGTCTTGCATCTTTCCGGAGCAGAACTGTCATAAAGAACCCAAGCGGAGTAAAGCTTGTTCTCAACTAGGCAGAGTTAGTTCTAGTGAATGGATTATGTAACAGAAAAGGGTCATTCATTTGGTAAAAGAAAAGTGGAAAGCCTCCCCCCCCCTTATTTTACAGTTCTATATTAGCCCATAATTTCAAATAGCAC